ATGTTTCTGCAAAATTCTCCAGTCAAAGCGTAACACGAATGACCGTTTCGTTGAATAGAAATACTTCTATAAATATATTTTCTGACTTTCACAATGTAAAGGTAATCATTCTATTTATGGGTACAGCTGTAACATACACAATAACCCACGTGATTAATAAAAAATAACCAAGAGCGCGATTAATTGAGGGATAAGATAATGTCATTTGAATATGTTTGCATTGCAAAATTCTCCAGTTCGCTTTTCATTATACATATCGCGACATTTTATTTTTCCTCATACCAATCGGAATGATCGGCTATTATGACAGACGAAAACGCCCGAGAAGTTGCAATTGTCCTTAAAGTTTCAGAAAATCTGATTTCATTCTACAAGGGGCGTCGCGCTTCGGCGCGGACGCCAAACACAGTAAGTATAACAACTTAATTGTGTTTGACATGAAGTGGTTTAATACAAGTCGAAATCAATTATCTTCAAATACTCCAGACTACTAATGCTACAAAAACTGTGATACAATATACGTAGATGTCGAGATTAAATATCAATAAGCAAAATTGTTTTGCGATTTTAACGCTGGACAAACACGTTTCATTTTCAAAATTGAACATATTTCTTGTAAAAGCTAGATATTTTTTATAATATAAACAATACAATTATTGTTGAGCATCGGACGAAAATGTTTTTTATTCAACTTTAGGAGAATATACACTACAATTTATGGCTAAAACGAGTTGTTGTACCGATACACGATAAATGCTATTATATCAAATCGGTGTTAATATGCACACGATTTATGAGACAAGTATCATATATGACAATATTTCTTTAAGCCGATATGTCCACAATATTCACTATTATGCTTATTCTATTTCGATAAGTATTTCAAACTTGATAAAGCAGTAGACATATATCTATCATTTGGGTATTCTTTTAATATCAAAATACTATTTGGAAAACAAATGCGTTTAGTGTTTAGAGTTTCACTATGAATATTTATAAGAATATCAAAAAATACAGTTATGTTCTAGTCTAAGATCATTCTTTTCTGTTTAATGTTGATATGTAAAATCGAATCATGTATCTCTGCATATTAACAACATCAAATTTCTTTGTTCGTGATTCCTTACCCATTTTTGATACTAAATTTTAACAAATAAGTAGTTTTGTACTCCATGTCTTTCATTATTACAAATCTCCTCCTATGTGCAGTAACAGGATATCTCTAATACATTAAATATGTGTTAACCTGCAACTGCAATAAGATTCCTGACGATATTCTCTACAAAGGGCGGAGTATTCAGAAAGAAAGAAAAAACACATTTCTCTATACCACTGTTTTGAACAATTAACATCGAAATTAATTGTATTTCCTACATTTATATTACCAAAATTGCTTATATCATTCTTCATGAAGTTATAAATGTACATTTCTTTATGCTAAATTACACAATATTATGATTACTTTATCAACTATTATAGGTATGGAACAAAATATATCTACTGTAATTTACGCGAAGTAAATAGTGTGACTAAAACTGATTGGAATTGTGATAAAGTACTCACATATTGTTACGATCTCGATAATAAACAAGTGACGTGTTTATTACCCAATACAATAGTTGATGTTATTTATAGACCTGTTATGAAAGGCATTTATGTATTGGAACAATGTTATTCGTGCTTCACACAGATGACATGGGGTGAAGAAAATAAATGTAATTATGGTAAAACAGAAATAAAGAAATTATGTAATTACTGAGTAATGAATCTACATTTAATTTATTAAAATGTCTAGTCGTATAATAATAATGTTATCCTGTAGAAAACCTTGGCTAAAACTGTAAGGGTGTTCATATAAAGATGGTACAAAATCATTTTGAATATTGTTATGCTAGGTTTATACATTTAAAAAAACGATTTCTATATTAGTATTTCTTACAGGTCGGATGCATACAAATGAAAAACAGTAAGAAGAATGTCATGTAATTTAACAAAATCACAGATATTGAACATAATATGAACACTTGTTACATAACATACTTGTTGAAACGTTACCTTACTTGCTTGTATATCAGAATTATTATTTACAGACGCAATATAAATATTTTGTTTTGATAAGATTTAACTAGACCATGAAATTATGAAGTTCTTTGTTGATTGTAACTTGATATGCGGTAGATTATTAACAATATTATTGAAGAAGTTTAATTACATTCTGATAGATTTTTTTTCATCTTTAGGGAATGTTGCGACGTTGTCCAAAATGTAAGATATTGGTCCATATCAAATAATAATATATGACAATCAACAAATCATGTAGACTAACTGTTGATATGAATGTGATGGAATTTTAAAATTGGGCTTGAGCACATTCTCCGGTAATATATAATACGATCAACCTTGATCGTTTAACTTATAACCAAACTATAAAGCAATTTGTTGGATATGAATTTTAGGTGACATTCTGTTATGTTATAGTGTTATACATTTCTGCATTTGTATCTACGAGAGTTAAAATCTTTATTTCATCTTCAAACAGATACCATTAGTCTTACAATGTCAGAAACAAATGTTTAGAAGAATGATGTTATTATCAAAGTGTTACAGTAAGAACGGCTTAAGACTCGTTTCAAAATCTGAATTGTGGGAACAGAAAATGCAACGGCCACAGAAAGGCACCATAAAAAGGCATTGCGTACTTCAATATTTATTCATATTTTCAAAGCATCAACTACCGTTTTTTGCTTGACAAAGCCATTCTACAGAAATAATCTACAGTCACAACTTGATCATGTTTTTTTCTCTTTTAATTTGATTTATTTCCAACATGGTCGTATTATTTTATTACGTTATTCTTTATAATCATTTATATACCAAGATCAAACATTGACGCTGTTACCTTTAAAAGCTCGGTGTCCACTTAAAATTCGTAAAAGTATTGAAAATGGTAAATATATACAATGCAAAATTAACGTAATAGCCTTATGAAATTCTTCATTAATCATCAGCAAAAAACATATTTCACTTACTTTACCTTTCAGTCAGTCCGTAGCGACGTGCTGATCGTCTCATTTCAAATTGTTTGAATACGAAGCGATGCAAAGTGTAACTTGACTAACAAAAAAATATTGAGCGCACTATAATTAACTATGTCTTGAATTTGTTTCGTTCACTTGGTATTGAGGATGATGATCTGAAAAAAATATGGGAAATAACATCTAAAGCCGGTCAGTTGAGCTGAAGTGGTAATATATAAATCATTGCAAGATGATAGAGATTGCAAGGTTTAATTGAAAACATAACATGATGTACTTGTTGTGTAAATCTCATCAACGTTTACTCAAACTTCTTGTGTCAGAAGTTATAAGTGGTAACAAGGTGTTTCAACCAGAAACATTGACAAACCGTATCTTTAACATGCATGTGTGTGTAAACTTTAAACTTTTAAAGTAATAAGTAATGGGCTTGCAGTTTCAACAGCTGATTGTTTGCACCAACTTTCAAATATCTTGAATAAACGTTCATTTAGTTTTTTATGTTGCTCCATCAATATGTTTTTAGCATGCAGCGGTGATCATATTGCATTTTAACTAATTGAAGACATGTCTTATTAAATGATCATTACATTTTAATCTAATTGTCGCATGTGTAAAATTGCAAACACATTAGGAACGGCATCCTAACATTTTCAAGTGAAAAAAAAAATAGAAATAAAAAAAAGTAAGTAAAAAAAACACACACCCAATATTTGATATTTTCTACATCTATCAGGCATACATTGTTAATATGAAATTCATTGTATGCGATATGTCAAAGGAGTTTGCATGACGTTCAATAAACATAATTAACATTTAAACAAAAATAGGTAATATTTTTACATTTTATTTGCTGCTATAAAATGAAAAAAGAGAGAAAACAACAACAACAAAAACCGAAGATGAAGTTTGAAATTATTGCGCATTAACAATTTTATATCCACCTATAATATTGCTACATGCTGCTCTACATTAGGTAGCCTTCAAGAAAATGAAACGCTAACAAGCTTACAATTAAATACAAAAATGAAGCACAGACACGTATTTTTCTTTAAATATCTTTTTAAGGCAGAGTCACTGATTTCAGTAAATACATAAAAAATGTTTATATGTTAACCCAGATATTTTCTTCTTAAGGAAAACTATGGTATTTCAGATGCATTTACTTCAAAAGGCAAATTTCCGCCTTGAGACCTTTTTAGACTTATTTTAAATTTAGGTTGTTACTGTAGCAAATATTTTTTTATTTCTTTGAATGTGTCTTAACTCTAAAAAACGTTTCCAAATTGTGTGGAAATAGAACTGATAATTATTGACTGTTATAGTACAAGACATGTAATTACATGTCTGGGAATGTCTTTGCTTTAATGAAGAGGAGGGGAAGATAATACAATGGTAATTAAAGATGTAAATTACCATTCTGCTGAAACCTGCCCAATTATTGATACGTTTTTCAAATTTATGTCTTATCAGACGCTGTAGATTTAGAATTTAAAGGAGCATTGTTTTCTGTTATCCTTTTCCGTTACCCTAACGTTTATTTAATTCGCATAAATTATGTCATTACAATGTAAAAGTAAGTACACATACATTAATACGACTTTCTTGAAATAATACCTTCCCTAATCATTTAAAATGATTTGAGCATTTTGCATTTTTAATTACAACGCTCTATAGTTAAATCAAGATTTTTTAATCATTACAAATGGTTAACAAATTTCTCCTTTTCTTCTATTTTCAACTTATATAAAGACATTCTGTGCCAATTTATATTAAAAAGTATATTTGTTTCAAACGGATTCGAATAAAGATAGTACCTATGTCCTAAACAAATAAAGCTCAAGAAAAATATTTCTATTTAGTGCTGGATATTGTCACGCTTTGTAAATGTTGGATGTATCAGTCGGGCATTATTTGCAGTACTTTTATCATGTTAAGGATTACGGACCCTAATAAATCGGTAAACATCGGGTAAAATCGTGAAACGTCGTAGAAGGCCCGAAGCTACCCTCGTCTTTTGTCGCCACTTATCGTATAACCTATTTTTAGCGACTGTGACGTCAGTTTTCACAGGAAGCAATATGGCCGCTCGCTTGCGAAACTATCGTGGCCGGTACGTCAAAAAAACAAATTACGTTAAAATTAAGAAGTTTGAAAGGATTTTAATTAAACATAATTATGTAACGGACAATTCTGTGCAAAGTGGTAATCCTGCTGAAGTGTTTAGTGACCAGAATCTTACGCAACAGTGGAAAATTGGGCGGCGAAATATTGAACTAGATGTTCTTGTTGAAAATTTGAAGTTTTGCAAATCGTGCAGGTTTGGACCGGTTCCACTGACGTTATACAGTGTACAAAAGGAAATTAAGAAGGGGCTTGGTGGATATCTGTATGTGCAGTGCGAAAATTTAAATTGCGGTTTTATTAACTTTGTTTCGTATGGGAAAACCCACAGACACAGGGGAAAATCAGGAAAATCAGGCATGCCTTGTTTTGCAGTAAATACCAAGCTTGGTACAGGTATAAAGCTTACACATATTTTGTTTCATGTGATCATAAACATAGTTGTCTTATAAGAACATTTTATGCATTTAAAGTCAATTTTATCAAATGTTCAATGTTTATTTTATTATTATATAAAGGAGCAAATGTATTAACCTAGATAGCTTGCATCTTTTGCAGGCAGAAACTGTGTCGGGTTTATTGTAAAATGCTCAATCAGGTCAGCTTGGACCTAAAATTAAATAGGTCCTCAAATCATATCAGCCTTGTATAAACTCTGCTTTGGTCAACTAGGCCCTCTTTACCTTTTTTATTTGTGTTAATATTTGGAATATATATACATGTAATTCTATATAATAATGATCTATTCCACATATGTGTTCCATGTTATATGAGTCTGACTTGTGTGGATAATTATAAGTTTAAATGATGAAAGTTTGACTATTATCATATTCATTTTAGTAAACCACAAATTTTTGCCATGTTGACCAATGCGTACAGTTGAATTCAGGAGCTTACATTATTCTTACATGTACATTGTAAAATATGTGACCCCTATCAAATAGCTTTTCTATGTTGAATTTAGTTGTTTTGGGTCACGTCTTGAGAAATGTAAATATGTATTATAGAAAAAATATAAAAAATGATAAATTTCACTCATTTTCAGCTATGATAGACAGTATTGGAGGTCCAACAATGGTTAACAATATGCTGTCCACCCTCATCTTACCAACATTGTCCAATAACAAGATGAAAAAAAATGGAACGCAGGGCAGGAGAAGCTATCGAGTGTGTGGCATCTAAATCAACTTCAACAGCTGCTCATAAGGCTTTCAGTATGGAAATACAGTGAGTTTAAAGTCTATTAATAAATTATATCAGTTGTAATTTCACAACATTTGTTACCAATCTTTATATTTTTGTACAACATCAAGTTGAACATGTCTATTTAGACTGCATAAGCTGTAGATATATAATATGACCATGCCTGTCTTTTCACATGAAAAAATTAAATTCCCAATTGAAAGTTGCAAAATAAAAATATTGTATAACTATAAAACAATCTAAAATCTTTGAAATCAAGGGCTTTCTTCACTGTTATGGTGCTTAAATGTTTGATGCCATCCCAGACAGTGATTCTTTGTATTCATTTAATCAATAAATTCCTGGGTATGGTTCATGTTCCCAAAAATGCTGGAAAAATAACTCTGCTTTCAGTCAATAGTCAGCTACATAAATAAAGGACAGTCTAAAGCAAAATAAAATCACTGAAATGATAAACAAAAGTACAAAATTTAAATCTAATGACCCATAGTTAATACAACTTGCTAAAAAATAATTTATGGATGTAAGGGTTTGTTAATATGTTTACTGGTAATGTAAAACTAATAATAAAACTAATAATAAAATGTAACTTGGATTTAGATTACAATGTACATAATGTAATATTGATTTATAATATAAATGATTTAACTTTTTAAATAAAATTGAGCTGTCTGTTTCTCAATACATGTATTTGAGATTCAGTTTGAATGGGAAAGTAAAAGCTCCTGAGTGAATGTGAGGAATCCAATTTCCAAGAAAGCATTAATGCTGGTTTGTTGATTCTGTTAATGAATAATATTAAATGATCTTCAATTTCATATCATATTATATAATAACATATAATGTGCTCTAGGTAAAGATGTACATTAGAACCTTCATACATATCTACTTAAAATTAATAATTGAAGCACTAGAGGGCGCATCTTATCAGTCAGGTACTAAAAGACTTTTAGTTCATGACATACATATGCAGATTAGACTATTAAAATTAAAAAAAAAGACATGATGTTATTTGAGTATGTACTTATAAATCATAAATTGTAAAAATTATATAAATTGATTTCAGGTATTGAAGAAAGGCAGGAAGATATTGATGTAGAGAGGATACCTGAATACAGTGATGCTGTTCCACTTGGTGACTTTAAACCCATACCACCTCTATCAGACCCAATAACAATGATTGCACTTGATTTAGAGACTACAGACCTTAGTGAGTAGAATTCTTTAGCACATGTATATATATAAGTGTTAAATAATTTTTGTCTCTTAATTTCATTTTGATTTCAAAGTATGAGCGAATTGTTTATTGAAAAAAAAGGAATAAGATGTGTAAATAGAATAGTCCTGTTCAGTTTAAATATGAAGTTATAAATTTTCAGTTCGTGCTGGACAAATGCCCCACATAACGCAGATTGCTGCCAAGGTTGTCAACAGTGGCATAGGACAAACATTCTTTGTATATGTACAGCCCAAGATGCCAACTTCAACAGCAAGCGACAGGAATAACAGTAAATGGTGACATTATGACAGTAAACGGGACTATTGTTGATACAGTTGACATCAATTGTGCTTTGGACAGTCTTATACAGTGGCTTGATAAATACAGTAATGTTATTGTGACTGCCCACATATGCAGAAGGTTTGACTTCCCTGTGCTTATTTCAGCCTTATGTAACACAAACAAAATAGATAGGTTTTTTAAATGTGCACAAGGATTAATGGACACATTAACGTTATTTAGAAAAACCTTCCCGGGAAGACCTTCATATAAGCAGGAAGACCTTGCTCGTGACGTATTACAATATACATATAATGCACATAATGCCGAAGATGATGTTACAGCTTTGTGTAAAATACTTTCTCACAGCTGCTCATTGATATCTGTACAAGACCTGATGAAATTTACTTTTTCTCCAAGGGCTGTTTACTTTAACTTTTTATCCAGCAAAGAAAAGGCAAAAAATCTGTGTACATTACAAGGTATTGTTGCTTGTGGCATTTGTAAATTGGCCACAGCTGAAAATATTGCCAGTTCAGGTCTAAATTTGAATAGTCTGAAGAAAATATATCTTAGACAGGGCAAAGATGGATTGCATAATACATTTACATGTAAGAATTCTGAAGGCCAGCCACGTGTAACTAACACTAAAAGAGTCCTAGAAAGTGTTATACCAAAACATGTTGAACATTTTAAGAAATAATGAGGTGATTATGTAATTACAGTATTTTGTTAATTATTGTACTGTTGTTTGTAAAATCATTTATCAAAAGATTTGTAATGAATATAATTTTTGAACATAAAAACAATATTCCTTCATTATTATAAATTTGTTGTAGAACATTTTGAAAGGTTGTTATATAACTTGAAGCAGCTTTGGTTATATTTATGTACCAACAATTTAAGGGTCATATAACCAGTCATATATCATAAAATAGTAATTTTTATGGTACTGTATTCTATTTTTCTTTGTCACATTTTATTTTCAGTGATAATTGTAACTTTCATTTTTCCCCCAGCATTTTTGGTCATAAATGATAACAAATGATAATTTGTTTTTTGCATTATTGAAAATAGTAACCAAATTCATTTTTTTATATTTCCTGATTAAGTCTGTGTCATTGTTTTTTACATATTCATTATAGTAATGATAGTACAGGAAAACTCTAATAGAACTTGCTAAATTTCCTTCCTGCAAAAGTAGTTCAAAATCTATGATACAGAATTCTTTCAGGGTATGAATATTTAAAAAAAAAATTAAAACCTAAATCTATTTTGTTGAGTAAGCTATTAAATGAATTAGCCATAGTAAAAATCTCTAGTAATTATTGATTAATTTCTTCAAATGGTAAAGATGATCAATGTTTTTCCTAGTGAGATTGAACATTTAACTGGAAAATATTAGAAAATGGTTTAAATTTTTATGGAAAATGCATTGTCCGTGCACTGATCGAAGTGTGCATGATACTGAGAATTAATAAATATGAACACATCTAGATTTAACATTATTGTATTCATATTGTTAATGGTATCACTCCATAAAACACAAGAAAACTCATATTTTGATTGTCTTGAGTGAAAATAGTGAGAATTAGAAGACCTCTTTTTGTGGCTTAGGTCTTGTCTTTATTTTTCCCTTTTCTGAGGTTGAGAACGACCTATTATAAATATGAATAACACATATTAAATCTATTCTAAGGTGTTTTTAATTTAACTGATAAGTTTCTGACAACTATCAGGTAACTTGCTATGTAGTTCTTACTTCAAAAGAAGTTTGAAATTATAAATGTACATTTTTTGTTAGATTATGAATATTTTCGACCAATTTCGGACTATTTGAAAATTGACACAGTTTTGTTCAATAAGCTATAAAATGAAATAGCCATGGTAAAATCTCTTAAAAATTGGTGATTTGTTTCCTAAAATGATGTAGATAATTATTATCTATTCTATTTTTATTGAATATAAATTAATTTTTTTTTAAAAATGTTAAAATTGGTAATTGGATTAAATTTTTAAACAAAAACACATTGTCCGAGCACCGTTTTGAAACATTTATGATACTGAAAAATAAAAAATATGAAAATATTTTAGTTTTTGTATTATTATTTTCATAGAATTGATGGATGTACACTATAAAACACATATTTGGATAGTCTAAAATTATACTTTTTAAAATTAGACCTTTTTATGTTACTTAGGTCTTCACATTATTTTCTCCATTTTTCGAAATTGAGGGTGACCATATTGAAACACAAATATCTAGAGTTGTAGATGGTAAAAGCACAGGTGCTCGTCCAGTCTTGGTGCCCATATAAAAAAAAATGAAGTTTTAAAAAAAAAATTGAAAAAAAAAAAATTTGAAAAAAAAAAAATGAAAAAAACCCATCAAAATAACTATTTTGGGTTGAGTGTAAGAAAAAAAAATTTGAATTTTTTTTTTCCTATATACCATTAGATTCTACTACGAAAAGGTCACCTAGTCGCCGTAACGCTACGGAGCTTTACTAGGACACACTGTGGAACAACCACAATATCGAGTTCTGTAACAATAAAAGCTATTTTGCTACTCTTTACACATTGTGCATTTAGAAAATTATTAACATTCTTATTGTACCTTACATACAATCTTAAATAACTTACATTTTAACTCGGACACTCCAATTTGTTAAAAGTTTGCAAAACAACAGTGATTGTCGGCCATTTTGTCGAAATCGAAAGTACAAAACATACACCGTACTGTTTCGCTGTTCTGGTCCCCTACGACTACGTTCGCTGAACAATAGACACCAGTAACCAATAAATTGATGGTTACCGTTGTCTACTGTTCCTCGCACGTAGTTGTAGGAAACCAGGAGAGCGGAACAGTACGATGTATGTTTTGTACTTTCGTTTTTGACAAAATGGCCGACCATCAACGGAATTTTGCAAGATTTTAACAAATTGGAGTGTCCGAGTTAAAAGGTAAGTTATTTAAGATTGTATGTAAGGTAGATGAAGAATGTTAACAATTTTCTAAATGCACGATGTGTAAAGCGTAGCAAAATAGCTTGTATTGTTACAGAACTCGACATTGTGGTTGTTCCACAGCGTGTCCTAGTAAAGCTCCATAGCGTTACGGCGACTAGGTGACCTTTTCGTAGTAATGGTATATAGGAAAAAAAAATTTTTTTCAATTTTTTTTTTCTTACACTCAACCCAAAATAGTTATTTTGATGTTTTTTTTTTTCAATTTTTTTTTTTTTCAATTTTTTTTTTTTTTCAATTTTTTTTTAAAACTTCATTTTTTTTATATGGGCACCAAGACTGGACGAGCACCTGTGGGTAAAAGATGTTAAAAATCCTGCAATAACATGCTTAAATATTATATATTTGAAAAAGAAATGTTTCTTTGTTATTCTTGAAAGTGCCCATTAGGGTCAGTAATCCTTAAATATGCTCACACAATACATATATTTATTAATTTCATTCATAGTCTATATCACTACTCATTTGTTTTCCATTTGCAGACATGAAATTCTTAGGTGTATACAGTCGAGTTTTTTTAAAGTGAATTTTTTTAAGTCGAATTGAAGTTATTATGATACCCACATATTAGTGTCTACATAGAGAGGGTCGAAAGTAAAACGGTGTTTAAGTCCCTTAACAGTTTCAGAAAGAGAGTACATAAAAAGTTGTGTAGCGCCAAGAAAGATAATGGCAAAAAAACACTTTTATTTAAAATCAGACCACACTGGTACGTCTTTTTTGCGGCGAGGTTTTGGATTTTTAATATTTCCATAAGTTAAGTGATACTTTATCGTGATAGGAAGTTGAAACACTCTTTTAATCACAGTAAGTATAACAACTTGGCTGTGTTTGACATGAAGTGATTTGATACCAGTCGCAATTAATTATCTGCAAACACTCCAGACTATTTATCTGTAATACAATACGATATATTACTGATGATAAAAAGACGGTGATACAAAATCGGTAGGCGTTGCAGTTTAATACCAATAGCAAAATGTGCTGCAATTATAACGCTCAACAAATACAAAATATGTTTCCAAGTGTGATATTATTTAAAAAAATAGACATGATTCAAGTACTACGATCGCTACATCGTTTTTGAACATCGAGTTAAATGGGTTTTTTAAGAAGAAAGTGTTTTCAATCTAAGGACTTATACAATGAAATAAATGGCTAGAAACCATTTTTGAACAAAATATTTGTAAATTAACAACTTAGACATTCATGATATGTGTATATATTTCCTTTTAAGTCAATTTGTCCATAATGGATACATTTTCTTTCGATAAGTATTTCGAATATTGATTAAATCTACGGAAATGTATATTTAGATTTATATCAAAATATTTCTAGACACAAAAGTGGATACGTTTAGTGTTTTAAGTGATTGAGTATAAACATTTAATAGAATAACAAAAATACGTATTAATTTTATTTAAGATAAATTTATTATCTGCTTAATGTCGATATGTTATGTCGGATCATGTATATTTTGCATATTAACAGAAGCAATTTTAATTGTTCTAGGCGATTTCAATTAAAATAACAGCAGGCCATAGTTCAAACTGACTGTCTGAAATCATTATATGGCCTGTTGAAATTCTATAAGATACACAGTTCTTATTTCTGTGCAGAAAGTTTTTGTTTGAATTACACAAAAGGCCTGCCTGAACTTGCTTTTTGGCTGCTGACAATTCATTTATTGAGAACCCTGCTTCTATAACTTTTTACTTTTGTATGGGCAGAATTCCAATCTGCAATTTAGAGAATGTCCCTTTTCTAAGAAATTGTGTTTAGCAACCCTTGTATGGACAGAATACAAGTATATTGTAGTCAACGGACTATTTCTCTGCTGTTAATTCAGTATAATTATAAATTCAGCATAATTATTACTATACAGATTTTAACTGTAGTCTTATAAATAAGACGCTTTTTCGCTGAGGGGTCGCTTTTAAGGGTTGAGACATCAGAATTGCACCC